CAAATGTTTCCAAATTGATAAGAAACAGTTCTTTGAAAATTTTAGCTTTTAATATTAACTTTAAGATAGTCCGCACCCCAATAAAATTTCCTTGGTTCTTCTTCCAAAGTAAATATTTATTTTTGCAAAATATATCAAATTTTTGTTGTAATTTTTTTGTTTATGTTCAAAATAAGCAAATACAATGTTATAGTCATTATTTTGGTTCACTTGTCGCTAAGTTATAAAATTCTAAAAATCAAATGGAATTTTACTCATGTTATTTTTTTAAGAAACTTTGATTGGAGTGCGGACTATCTTAAAGTTAATATTTAGAGCTAAAATTTTCAGAGAACTGTTTTTTATCAATTTGGAAGCATTTGAGCCCCTTAGAGAAAACAAATTCGAAAATATCCATATTAAGGACCACCCTAATTGTATATGTTTGTATAGAGAGACCAAGAGACTATCTATAAATTTTATATGTGAATATTAATATAATGTCAACTTGTCCAATCAAAATCAAACAAAATAGAGTCTAGCTTTGGGGGAACGATAAAATCCAAAATGTCAAATTCTAAGGAGGAAGCAAAAAAAAATACATGGACAAGGTTTGGAATGAGATTGGCCTTAAACACGGCTTGCCATCCATTTGAATATGCTAAAGTTTTGATTCAGATTGGCTATGAGCCCATACCTGCCAGGGCGACTACTACTTTATTTGGCAGATCGGCTTTGGTGCTCCCAAATGTTTTCCAATATGTCAGTTACATTAAAGGAATTGATGGCCTGTCAGGTTGCTATCGAGGTTTGACTCCTAAACTCCTGGGTAATGTGGTGAGTGTCCTGAGCAGTGAAAAAATAGCCGAGCAATTAGGTTTGGGAGCAACTCCTGAAAAAGAAGATGTTAATGATGATGAACTCACGGATACTGAAAGGAGGAAGAAGTTCGAGAAGTCTTTGTCGAGGGATTTGATTCTTCACATAAGTGGTACTATAATTAGTCATCCCTTCCAAGTAGTCACTGTCAGAATGATGAGTCAGTTTATTGGTCGCGAAACAAAGTATTATTCAATTTTGGGATCCTTCGCAACCATCTATCAGGATGAAGGTATTGGAGGATTCTTCAATGGTCTATGTCCAAGACTGTTAGGAGACATTGCTTGTCTTCTGTTTGCGAGTGCTGTGACATTTATCATCAACAAACATTTGGTACACGATAAGGAAACTCGCAGCTACGTAGGAGCAATCGCTACTTTTATCACAAGCACCATCATGTATCCATTCCAAGTGGTCTCCAATTGTATGGCTCTGTCAGGATCAAATTTGGCAGCAAGTAAACCACCACATATGCCAATTTTCAATAATTGGCAGGATTGTTGGGCCTACCTAAAACAACGTGGGGAGCTCAAACGAGGTTCGTCTCTTTTATGGCGTTTTTGGAGACCTCCGACCTGCGATTTGGGCCCCCTGACACCAATACCTCCTGGCGACATCGCGAAATCTATCGGATTTGAGACTATGAATGAAAGCTGCCCAAATGATAACCCAGACTTTGCAAGGGCCAAAACTTCTACGTAAGTTAAATGTTTTGTAGTAACGTGAATTGTTGAAGAGAAAACATTATACGGGTATGAATTTATTTTGTTTCCTCTGTTATTGTATTATTTATCCATGAAAAATAAATTAGTTGTGAGGAACTAGTTATTTATTTTAATAACAAAATAATAAATAAATAAATGATAAATTTGTTAAAGCCAAATACCTTTTATTATCCAAGACTATTTTTTTCAATGTAAACTCATTATTATTTTCCAAGTGTTAAATATTATTTACTAACAAAATAATCTTGAACTTTTATTGTTAGACATGAAATTTATAATTTATTAATAAATATTGATGTCAAAAATATCGGATAACTGTATATTGGATATGTATTATATAATTATAATATATATTATCGGATATATATAATATTCAATGTAGATTAAAAATTATTTTCTACATGGTAGATATTAGGTTTGTTTTTTATGTAGGTATTTATTTTCAATATATTAGATGAAATAATTAAATTAACATTTAATTTACATTAACATAACTAATTAATAAAATATTATTTATTGGCAGCCAATATAAGTTTACATTCTGAATAAAATATTATTTTCTAACAAGGGCTGAACATCATTTCCCAAGAAGTAAATATCATATACTAGTAATTTAGTCATTATTTATTAATTTGCGGATTAAGTAGTATTTGTTATTAAATATTGATTTTCACCAAGGGATATAATCTATTTACAATCTAATTACAAATATTCTAAAGATAAATTTATTAACTTCCCGTACGGTAGTTATAGTAATGGGCCGAAAATCGTTATTGGAAATTTTTGCATTTCTAGACGTTTTGAAGGTTTCTAAACATTTTGGAATACCTTAGAAAAAATGGATGTGTGTGTGTGTTTTGTATGTCTGCTTCTTTTCGTCCACGTTTTCGGGCGCACGGATCAATCGATTTGAATGGTTCAAAAAGCATTCAATTCCTATTGATAGGGAGATGTGCTGATTAGTTTTTAGCAAAGGCAGGTCCACGCGTTTTGGAAATACAGAGCAAAGAGTGCAGAAAATAGAAATCGAGTTTTTGAGAGAACGGAACATCCGATTTGAATGACCCAAAAAACATTCAATTTGTAATGATGAGAAGAAGTGGTGATTTCTTTTAGGCAAAGACAGGTCTAATCGTTTAGGAGATACCGAGTTGATTAAGTTTTGTATATTAAAACTATACTATTTATAATAATCTAAATCTTTATTAAAAACATTTAATATTCCTCGAATAGTTTATTACGATACGGAAAGTTTCAGCACTTTGTCTTAAGGCACAATGACATGCACCACTAGTTTTAGTTTTTACTAGGATTTAATTTTTAACAAAATTTTAGGATGCAATTTCTAAAAATTTATCGAATATATGAAAATGGCATATTTTATTTAGAATATTTCTTTGCACGACCGCGTTACATGCTTCAATGATATTCAATGTTTATCAAATAGAGCAGTGGGTGTTAACCTATTTATGTACTGTGTTGGAACAAGGATTTGAATAATGATAGAAACCAACAAATGTTTTAAATATCTCTCATCACATCTAATTATTAAGGGCGCGTCCACTAATCACTTGAGATTTTTAGGGGGAGGAGGATTTGACAAAAAATCACGTAAAATTAAGTGTGGAAAGAAGGGGTATAGTAAGAAATCACGTGTATTTATTATTATTTTTTAAAAAAAATCCAAACATTTTCAAAAAAATAAAAAAATACAATTCTTTCTCGTCACTAAGAATACACGTGATGTTTGATGGGGATAAAGAGATAATTTGGATATCACAATGTATTTGAATATCACCAAGAGAGGGTCGTCCAAAAACCTCTTAAAAATCGATCACGTGATTAATGGATGCCCCCTAAATTGTTGGATAATTTTGAATATTACCATGTATCACCAAGGGAGAAGGTGGTCCAAAAATCAGTAAAAAATAGATCACGTGACTAATGGACGCCCCGTAAATTGTTTTTAATAGAGTTGTAAACGTGTATTAGGCATCTTCTTTAAGTTCTTAGGTTGTAAAGTTAGGTTGTCAGGTTGTTAATATCTTGGGTTATAACTTATAGTAATCGCAAAAAAAATCTTTAGGGAGCGTCTATTAATCACGTGATCGATTTTTAAAGGATTCTTAGACCCCCCCTCTCCACCTTGGTTATACGTGGTGATATTCAAAATCATCCCTCCCTCCTCCAACAAACAGCACGTATATAGTTACGAGAAAAAATTGTAGAATTTTTGATTTTTTTAAAAATATTTGGATTTAAAAAAAATACAGTTAAAACTCCCTCCTACTCCAATGTGATATTTCGTGATTTTTTTTGTCAACCCCCCCTCCCCTTAAAAACCCCACGTGATTAATGGACGCCCCCTTACGTTTATAATCCTCCTGAATATTTTGGCATACCTTCGAAAAGTGGATGTATGTTTGTGTGTTTATGCGTGCGTGTGTGTGTATGTGTGTGTGCGGATACAATTTTTTGCCGACGTTTTTAAGAGCATGGATCAACCGATTTGAATAATTCAAAAAACTAACGATTCCTATTGATGGGGAGACCTGTTGATTAGTTTTAAGCAAACGCAGGTCTAGCCGTTTTGGAGATACGCACAAAAAGTACTAAAAACGGTCATTCATTTCTTGGAAGAACGTAGCACTCGATTTGAATGATTTAAAAAATATTTTACTTGTATTGACAAAATGACGAATTGATTAAATTTTTGGAAAGGCAGGTCTAGCGGTTTGGGAAAAACAGAAAAAAAAAAAATGTAAAAAATGATATTTGGCGGTCTAAAATGATAATTAGACATATGCACATCAAATTATCAGATATTTTATACATGAGTACTAATTTTGTTACAATTTTCTTGAGTTCCGTATCAAGATTTTTAAATTTTAAAGTTCACTTATACGGTTCAAACAAATTTCTAAATTTTTAGATTTTTTTTTTAAATTTTCAAAAATATATATAAAACTACATAAATTTTAAATTTACAAGTTCAAAAATAGTATATATTTATTACTAATTTCATATTTACAGTTTAAAAATGTGTATATTTCATATGCGTTATTTTACTAGTAAGAAATATATCCTCAGATGGATTTATTTGGCCCCTCTTGCTAATGTAAACATTTTCAAGTGTTTTGAGCGATAAGATCGTCACTGTATATTATATAAACGATAAAATTTATAGTAATATTAATTTTGTCTTTGAAAATAATTAAAACAATTGTTATTAATCACTGATCAAAATTTATTACTGTTTTTTGTCTAGAATATTTAATTCTGGTATGGAAAGTTCTAGCAATTTGTCTTAATTATTTTTTTCTATAAAGGTTGTCCACCCCTGTATCGAAGTAAGATGCCAATATCGTTCGTATCTATTCTATTTATTCCTACTATAATTTATTTCGTGTTCTCATACGCATTCGATGTCAAGTTTGTGCGCCGCCACATTGTGTTAATATACACACACGTGTCTCTAAATAGTTGAGAATTTTATTATTTAAATTAATTTATTTATATATAGTGAATCGAAATGGCTACATCACTACTGCGTGTGCTCAGGATAGAGGTAATATTTTATTTATTCATATTTTGTAATAATGATAATAATAATGGATTGTTACTAACACTAAAGAGCATGGTGGTACCTTTTTAGAAGTCTTTAAGTTTTATATTAGCCCGTCATTTGGTACAAAAAAATGCTGTTGCCTAGAAAGTTTTCCCGAGAGTTTTTGAAAATTGGTGATTTTATAGATTTTGATGTGATCTTTACGAATTTTCAACTTTGCACACCTCGAATTTTGCCGCTGCCTGCCGCCGCTATATTGGAAAAAATTGCGTCAAAAATCAGTTTTTCAACGATATCTCCTTTCTGATCATGTTACATTAAAATATCTATATACAAAATTAAACTAGACAAAATTTTCTATAATTTATTCAATAACGTTTTTTTCTGTACCGTCAATAGTTTTAGCGTACTGCGCCGCAAAGTTTCTGCTGCTCGCGCCACCATCGGATATTTAGCCGCTCTTTGCGCTTGAACGCATTCTCTCTAATAATATATAATTTCAATAATGAATTAAGCTTTTCTGCTCAGGTCTGGCCTAGAAATAACATAAATTAATCATTTTTGTTTTTCATTTTTATTTTTGCTGATGATTGAACATTTTTAAACCATTAAATGTGTAATTTAATGCAAATATGAAATTGTTTGTAAGAATAGTTTTGACTATTGATTTGATTGATTGATTTGACTATTGACCTCAGTCCTTCTAAAAGTTTACCTTTATTGTTCTTTCTTTGAGCACTTGATTTACAAAAAATGCAAGTAAACTAGCATACGGAACGATTAAAATATATACTGACGTCTAGAAAAAATACTTCTATTGATTCTGAACTACGGTTTGTCGGTTTTCAAATCGGTTTTTTTAGTGAAAAAAGTCGGTTTTCACTGTATAAATGGAAATGACAAATATAGCCAAATATAAAAAGATAGATAAAAGCATTTTGATTCTTGAAATCATATCATTTCTATAGCATTTGATATCTTATCAGTCTGCAATGATTCCCAGAAATAGTATATATTAATTTAGATTTTTATACCAGTGTATATATAATTTAAATCAGTGTGACTTCTTCTTGAAGAAGTAACTCCTCTACTCAACTTAAAAAATAAGAGTTTTAAACCTTAGAAGCTACAAATTAACAAAACAAAAAAATTTGGAATTATCATATCAGACATTAAAAAACAAGAATTTGGTCGCAAGTATGAAGTATTTTCTATTCCAGGAAAATTTGATTCGTAAACAAAGGACACGTCTATGTAGAAATTCGATAAATGTTCTCAGTTTTTGGAATCGTATTTTATTAAACAAAAAAACAATTAGAATGTTTAAAATTAGTTAATTAAAATTACTCGGAACAGACAATATCCGAGTTTCTTAATCATTTTAAAACTAAAATTGATATTAAAAAGTATGTATCAAAATGTATCTACTATATATATATATATTTTTTTTAATTTAATGATTTTTTTTATTAGAAATGTATTATTTTTATTTATTTGAAAACTTTCTTTTCACTACCATAAAAATAATTTCATTCTTATATGTGAAAATGATAAATACGAATAATTATTTTCAAATTTATTTAATCAAGATAACTATAATCTTTAGTTCTACTAATTAAATTAAAATGAATTTGTTTACTATCTATAAAATTGAACAATAAATAAATTTCAGTCAAATACTGCTCTAAATTACATTAAATTTGTGGATAAATTACAGAATGTTCGAGCAAAAATTTATTTTCTATATAAAATTCGAAAAACCGGTTAAAACGTTTTTTTTAGTAAAATTAAAAATTCGAAAACCAGTTTTCTGAAATGTCGGTTTTTGTATAAACCCTATTCTAAACATATTATACATATTTAGATGTAGAAATACAGATAATTGGCGTTGTGTGTGTTATTAGAAGATATAATCTTATATACAATACGCAGTAATCTATCCGTTGCAATCGAGTTATTAGAACGATTATCGCCAAAGATTATTCCTATATACAGTTCCAATTTGAGTTCATTCAATATTTTCATAGTTTAATAATCCCAAATTTATATAAATATTGCCAAAAAAAAAGAAAAAAATGCATTAAATTGTATGATTTAAAATGTTCAATCATCAGCAAAAAAAAAATGAAAAACAAAAATGATTAATTTATGTTATTTCTAGGCCAGACCTGAGCAGAAAAGCTTAATTCATTATTGAAATTATATATTATTAGAGAGAATGCGTTCAAGCGCAAAGAGCGGCTAAATATCCGATGGTGGCGCGAGCAGCAGAAACTTTGCGGCGCACGTACGCTAAAACTATTGACGGTACAGAAAAAAACGTTATTGAATAAATTATAGAAAATTTTGTCTAGTTTAATTTTGTATATAGATATTTTAATGTAACATGAGTCAGAAAGGAGATATCGTTGAAAAAACTGATTTTTGACGCAATTTTTTCCAATATAGCGGCGGCAGCGGCAAAAAATTCGAGGTGGCAAAGTTGAAATTCGTAAGATCACATCAAAATCTATAAAATCACCAATTTTCAAAACTCTCGGAAAACTGTTAAGGTAAAACTACTAAATGACTGAACTATATGTAAATTGCGTTTTATTTGTGACATGTAGTTGGAAACAACTTACTCCAACTGACTTAACTAAAATAATAGCCTCAGACTAATACTAATTTTCAGTAAATTTTAATCATTTTAATGTTATATAAATATAGTAAATGGTGCTGGATGAATTTTATTAGTATATATGCGTCTAATTCACATCGAACAATGTAAGGAATTAAAACAATCAATTTCTGGTTATCAAAATTTCCGTGCAATGTTGGCCAAGCGATTAAATATTGTGGTCCAAATAAAACAGAAGTGGGATTTTAGTTAGATAAGTTGGAGCAAATACTTGGCGTTTAAATATTACATTTTTCGCTCAACTTTATAATTGATCATGTGAATTGATCTTATTATTTTTAACGTCTAAGAATCAAAAATATTTTTTTTTTGCATATCTTTGCGTTTCAAGACCTCCTGAACATTCTGGCATACATTACAAAAAATGGATGTGTGTGTGAATGTACGTGTGGATATACTTTTTCGTTTATTTATTTTATTTTTTTAATTCCCAATTTTTTATCGAAATTAATTTGGATTTTAATTTTAACTAGCTAAAACTTTGCAATTCAAATTCTTTCGAATATTTTATTACGGTACGGAAAATTCCAACAACTTGCCTTAAGGCACGATGAATACACCACTAGTTTAATTTAGTTTTTTTTTTAAAAGCATTTAAATATTAAAGTTACTGCTCATTCTTATTGTTAGTCTAATTAGATTATTCCATTCATAAAATGGAATCCAATTGGATCAATTTAAGTAAAAATTATGCTTACAAGTTAATTATTATTAATAAATGAATATAAAATTATTATGAACTTCCATGTAAATTTGACTATATGATGGTTTCAAATAACTTATGATTCAATTATGATAAAATTTGCGATTTCATTAGATAAATTTGAACATATAATGCTTTACTTCTAATTATGGTGTTTATTCCATCAATTCCAAAGTTGAATAATTTTATTATGATTATTATTATTTTAATATATTTTTAATAATAATTTAAACATCTACTAAAGTTACTAACACTAATTACGAAACACTAACACGAAAGTTACTTCTCGTCTTTAGTCTTAATCTTTAAATTTTATCAAACAGAATCTAATTAGATCAATTTAAATAAAATTTTCTAGAAGTCAGTTTTTTTTTTATCAAAATTTCAAAGCAATTATGACCAAACGATTGAATTTTGTGCTTCCAAAAATTTTCTGATCTATTAATTATTAATAAATGATGAAGTAAAAAGTTCGAGTTTGAGAATAATCCTAAAGAACCAAATACATAATAAATCCAGTTCAAACATATAGAACAAATACTCAAACTTTAATATAATAAAATTTTAATCTTGAATATTTATACTTATATAATCATGGTCATATACATAATTTTAATCTACAATTTTCTAATATTTAATTCGTCAATTAATTTTTGGTATCATTGAATTTTTCCAATGTTGTTTTCTGTAATAGAATTTTTCTCTATATTATTTTTTTTTTAATTTATTATTATTATTTTAATAAACATTTTATAATTTTTGTTAATGCCAAACGTATGATTGTCTTATTCGATATTGCACTGAAGTTGTAATTTTTTAATAAATTCTCATCTCTTTGTTCTATAAAACCAATTCTAATCAGACTAATTTAAATGAGAATAGTATTTTGATGTATATGAATATTTTTGAAAACTTTAGTAACGAGAATTTATTGCAAAAATCCTATTTTTAAATATTAAATCGTCTTAGAAAACAGAATCTAATTGGATTTATTTGAATTCCTAATTGGATAATTTGAATTAATTGAATTAGATTACATGAAAATACCTATATTTGTATTAAAATTTTAATTTGCATTGTCAAACGATGATCTGTTTTTTATAACACAATTAGGAATTGTTGCAAATATATTATATTTTCTCTGTTTTGTGGTATAAGTATTTTTTGGTTTATATTTTAGTTTTGAAGTTAAATAAACCAAATTTTATTCAATTTTGTTTTATACTTTGTTTCTTACATTTTGTTTCAGAATTGATTTAATATTTTTACAAGATTAACGTATTTAATATCACTTTCACTGTTTTAAGTTTTCGAGGAAAAAATAAAATTTCCCAGAAAATCTGATTTGTTAAATTAGATTTTTCTACGTCCTTTTAATACCAAAAATGGAGAACGAATATCCTTAAATATTATAGGCTTACGAATAGTGGTTTAAATTTTATTTTTATTTTTCATGACTAAGATGAAATCATTACCGGTGAATATTTTGATTTAAATTGATTGTATTGACTATAGTCGACTTCTGACTGGCTATGTTCCTTAATATCAATAATGTTCCAAATTAAATATTATTTTTATATTGCTATTGATTTTAAAATAAACTTTTTCCTTCCGAATTGAAACACGTTTGTTTGTGAGTGAATGAAAAATCACGAGTCCATTTTTATCACTGGTGACCTTGCCGTGGGTCATATCGTTTAAGTTTAAGGTTAGATAATTATTGGTTTTAGAGCCGAAGTGTGTTGAATTCATTTAGTGAATTTCAATATCGGATTTTCGATTCTATAATCTCTTTTATTAGTTATTACATATAGAAAGTTATATAAATCTTACGAATTAACGTCAGAGCTGCTATGACTTTCATTATTGGAAAATGATAAAATGTTGTAAACATGGAATTACATCAACTTATAGATATATGACCATCTATATTAAAATTGTTTATTTAATTTCAGAACCTGTATCAAACCTTTTACTGATTTCTTTCACAATTTTAATTCAATAATTCACATATCTTCAAAATTACTATTTTTTGTAAAGACGGATTTTGTTTTAAATGAAAACAAAATCAGGAACTGAATTCCTGATTTTTTTTGGAAAAAGTTGTTTTTTGTTATTAATATTTTGTTCTTGATTTTATAATATTGTAATAAATTTGTTGATGATTTTGTTTATATCTTGACTGTTTTTTTTACAATTTAAAATGTCTATTTGAGACTCTGGCTTTCAAATCCAAGACTTCGTGTTCATTCCCCGTGTTGGGTGCAACCGTTTTTCCTTGAAAATATAGACCAAAAATGTTTCCAAGTAAAATTGGCTTGGAAAAACTATTGCTTGGAAAAAAATATTAGAGAATTAGGACAATTCATCATAGTGTTGCCTTCTTTGTTTTGGCCATCTCTTGGATTATAGCAAACAATTACTAAAAGTCTTCATTAAATAAAATTATGTTGTGTTAATGACTGCTGTCTCATATTGTTATTATCAACAATTCTGGCTCCTTTTATCACAGTTATGTAATTTTGCTTTGCTTATCTCATAACTATAGGAGATTATGCATAAAACAGGTTTATCTGATGATTTGAAGGTTGTCTTGACTATGGCATATAGTTTGCGATCATTCCTCTCGATATAACTAGATGATAGGAGAACATTGATGTTTTTAAAATTAGTTCCGATTTTTAACCAAACCAGATGAACCAATCAAAATATACATTTTTTTTTAACTATCAGAACTACTCCTTCTATGGGCTGTGTTTGTTATGGAACATCATAACCTAGTATTTTTTTTCGATAAAGCAACCCAATGGTCAACCACTCTTCAATATGTATAGACTGTGCATATCATGGATATGTATATCAATGTATACTTGCATGAGTTGCAGCAATGCCCATAGACATTTATTTGTGTTCTTCAGTGAAATTTTGATGTTAGGAATAGCCCACAATCTTATCCATTACACCATGGTGAGCTTGTCAACATATGTTGTTATGCAAAATATCATCTGGAAACTAAAAGTATTTAAAAATTCGTACAAGTATGCAATGATTTGTTTCGTGTTGACTTTATATTTATAATTTTATTGTAATTATTTGTGTTGATTGAAAAGGCCTTATAGAAAATCTTCATTAATATTGTTTTTAATATGCATCGTTATTTTTGATTAGTTAATATCCCTAAATGTATGAACTTCTTCATCCCATCTATTCCATTTAATTTACGTTGATACCATCTCAATATTATAAAATACCAACTTGCCACCATTGTTTATATACTTCTACTATAGTAAATTTTTTACAGTGATTACAAAAAAACATTAAATAATAAGTATGATATTTACTTTCTTATATCACAACTTCAATTACTCAACAAAGTTATCAATCTGTCACCAACCATAATGTTTTTTCTCATCTTATCAATATTAACATTATATAAATGCAATGACCCCGTCGTCTTGTTACATATTCTCTTTAAGAGTTCAATAATTTTTCAATTATTTACACATTATAAAGAAATTTTGAATAATTCGAGGAGTGGAGGTAAAGAACGTGGACTAGCACTTACTACCTTTTTGGCCAGCTCGGTATCGAGCAGCAATTGTGCCACAATTTCAATTGAGATCATAAATCATAGAGATTTGGTGTTAGTAATAAAACAATAATGAGACAATAATGAATACTTTTGATAATATTTTCATAAAATTAATATAAGGTAATATAAGGTAGTGTCCTTAATTTTCTAGAAATTTTATACTAGAAATATTAATACTACAAACATCCTAATAAATCTAGTTTAACAAATAGTTTGTGTAACTTGAACAATGAACCCATTGTAACATAATGGTTAGGAATGTGAGCTAGCACAATTTTGCCTTAGATTTAGCCCCAACCACGGTCTGCTCGATATCAAGCAGCATGATACTACAAACATTAAAATCAAAATAAAAAAACATTCATTAAATATCGGTCTTTCGGTAGTAGAATTAAGTCCAACACTCCTGTTCACGTGGTAATATGTTAGTGTCGCATTTCTGCGCACATGATTTCTTGTTTACATTTAGATTATCGATAGAGCATTGATGGCCAACCGAGGGATAAAGAGATTTATTTTATTAGTTTATCTCAAACAAAGATTGCACACTTTAATAATATCTTTTCCTTATTTAGTTAATTTACCAAGCTTTCATAATTATATTTCTAGTAGATTTCTTGATGTTGCATACATTTATCCAAAGTATGAGTTTAGATTTTTCAAAGCTTGGAGAGCATTTCCATAATAATTAAGTAGATTTGATAAAAACTCAATAGTTTGTAATTCTACGATGATTTTATTAGACATAGATTTTTGTACATTGTTTGCTTATGTATTACAAATGTCATGGCACACTTAATCTAACTTGGAGCTAATTTGCTCCAAAGCTATTTTAATTAAATTAATTAAAACAGATTACAATTAATAAAATTGTTTATTTATTCACTCAAAAGTCTACTACTTAAACAGTCAATTATATAAATTTTAATATTTTTTTATTTAATTTTTATTATATTTTTTTCCTTTTCAGGCTCCCAATGTCCTCAACGCTCACAAATACAGCACAGGGGCGGCCACAACTAAAATGTTCGTCGATGGACAATTCGTCGAATCAAAAACTACAGAATGGATAGACTTGCACAACCCTGCCACCAACGAAGTAGTCACAAGGTAAACACAAATTATAATATTTAATTAAATCCTCATTGAAAATTATATTAGATCATGGGTCAAGTCTGCAGTTATTGAACTGGAAGATTGAGTATTATACATATATATATTTCCATCAAACTACAACTGCTTAGAAGGTATTCAGTAGTAATTATAACTAAAATAATAAATAAAATTTTAAAATACTATTCATTGGTAAGAATCTTCTTAGTCCATGATAGTGGAAGATTGAGAATCGCTTGGTAATTTTGATGGATTTAATGGTTTTTGGAATTAAATTGAATAATATATTTTCTCATGAAAATAAGGCACTATTACGAATCCTTTTAAGAGACCTTACATAAAATACTGATTCGAAGGATATGGAAATTGGTTATGTTTTTATCCGCTAAATAGAAAATTAAAATAGCAGTGTAAAATCGTGATTTTTGCACGTCCAATAAGTAAACAACTTCTCACCAGGTGCAGGAAAATTTCAAATAATTTCTTAAATGCAATTGTTAATAAATTACAAACAATATAACTACTAATAATTGATATCAAGACGTTTTTGTTGATCTGGAAAAATAAGTTAAAAGTTTTTTAGATAATTTTGTCTTATTTAATTTATTATCTATACGGATAAATGGTTTGGGAATTCTTCCATGAATATAATCTTGAACGACTATAAGTTTTTTTTTTGAAAAATATTCAACCTTTTGGCAAAGAGACTACAGGTAGAATATTTTGCTAGACTTTATTTTCTCCTTCGAAGAATGACTAAATTGTCAAGGATAATTGCAGAAGGCAAATAAATATAAGGGCTGGAAATAATTACATTAATTACATTACATTTTGCAATAATTTTATGAGCATTGGATTCAAAAATTAGTTTTTTACCTAAAGTATCTAAGTTTTGCGTTATTATTTTTTATTTTATATAACCACATTATTTTTATTATTTATATGTATTTTTTTGCGTATAACACGTGTCTATCATCATTTGTTTGACTACTTAACACCAAAAATTGGAAGAGTAAATATTAATATGGAGTAAGTAATTCTAAATATAAATAGTACTTTTTGAATTTAGTTATACAATTATACCAAATTTTATTCATGTACTAATTGTTAATGTAATTATTGATATTACTATTAATTAGTAGCTCGATATTTAAAACAAAATTTTAAACACGATTTTTTTTTTGGAAATAAGTGTCAACTGCAAATGATCATAGTAATTAAATACATCCTTTTGGATTTTGTTCATACAAAAAAAAAACAAATATGTGAATATTTTAATTTCGTACATTTTATTTAATTTTTTAATTTTTTTTAACCACAGAATAGTTCAAGAGGACTTAAATATACATTCACATATAATTTAGATAAAATACAATATAGTATAATATATTATGCACTTAAAACAACACAAAATAGCATAAAACAAAATGTGACAATTTAATTACAAAACACAGAAAAAGATAAAATAATAAAACATATGTGAAAATAAATATAAAAGTTTACTTGAGCAGATGGATAGTAATACAAATTCGTTACAGTAATTACTTAAAATATACATAATATAAAAGGTAAATCAAATTGAATACATCATGGACAGAAAAAACTAAAAATAACTAATTGACCTTACATATTTTGGTGAAATTTTAATAAGTTTCTTCAAAATTTTATATTTCCAAAACTTTGTATTAGTTGTTTTTTTAACAACCATTTTTACGCATAACATTTTTTTTTTCAAATATATATCATTATTGCAAATTAATAAACATTGTAATTTTATTTTAATTTTGTAAAAGTTTGTTTTTCAAAGCGCCAAACATAAATTTAATACTTACAGTAGAAGTACTAAAGAAAAATAAAATTTTGTTCTGTTTTTCACGATTTTGGTTATCATTTTCGTCCAACATTTTCAAATAATAATCGAAAATTTCAACAACTTTTGGAAGTTCTGCATTTTTGCAAAAAAGGGAACAAAATACTCTGAAATGCAACTATTTTTTTTTTGAAAAATATAAATATAGTACTCAAAACATGTTCTGGTATTTGTCAAATTAATGACTCAATGTCTTCTATATAGACAGATTATAATTTATAAAAAAATAAAAAAGAAGTTCTGGTACAACAAATAAATTCTGGTACTCGATAAATAAAACTATAAGCCATCTCCATTAATTAACCTAGGTTTTTATGATTTTTTCCATAATTTATTTAGAAAATAATAATATAATTAGTTTATATAGATATACAAAATTCTAATTGCTTACATTTCCTTTGTGTAATACAAATAAATAAACCTTTTCAAACAAAAAAACTCTGAAATGCATAGCATGATTCCCATAATATTTATGAAATTATAAATTCAAACACATCGTATAATTTATTATTTCCAATAAATTTTATATTAAATTTATATATATATATATATATATATATATATATATATTTAACATTTATATAAGAAATCCAGTCAACGTAGTACTCAATTGAATACTAAAAGACTTAGTATAAAATACTTCTTATTACACAGCTTTTTCCAAATTCTGCTTACTCACCTCTTCCCAGCGCTCCCTCTAAAACATATTTGTGTAAGATAAGAATATTTACCTGTGGGATAAAATTACAAAAGGTGTTCACGTTCTGTTGGACTTTGCAAGGAGAGGGAATTATAAAATACCGGTTTCAAGTACAACCTTTGCATTCTTTTATATCATTTGGACTGTAACTTTTGAAGGAAATACATCGTAAAATGTTTAGAAGTTAAATTTAGATAATTTTTTTGTGAATTTTTGAATATTATAAATAAATAACAAAACTGTGAACATCTCTCTTGTCTTCTGTAAAAATGGGTGTGATTAAGGTAAGAAATATATAAGCTAATAATTATAGATAATGTATATTTTTAATATTATTTATATAGTTTTGTTGATATATATATATATATATATATATATATATATATATATATAATTAAATAATAATTATATAAAATATAATTTTATATTTGGATACTATTTAGCTATTTAGCATTTCCTATGCTGACGTGTCAATAAAATTAAATAGGTGTTAATTTTTCGTTTTTTTTTGTTTTTAGTGTTGCAAATTTTAAAAAATTTATTATATTATTTATTGTAATAAATTCTTGGGAGCTTTTTAAAAATTTAATTCATTATTTAATTATATAGCAGTAAGAGTCTTAATTGTTAAATATATAAATTGAAAGGTTTTTTGTTCCACATTGAAATATATTATTTAATAATAATAATAATGTAAATTTATTTAAAATTGTACAGTTTTCAGATCTCTAGTGAACAAACTAGAATTTTAAACCAAAAATTAATTAAAAACATCATTAGGTTAGAAAACCACGTGGGTTTAAAATAAACCAACAAGTCTAAATTAAAATTACTATAGTAACTATTATATATATATATAATAGTTAAAGAATATTATTTATTTCATAGTCAATGCATCAAAATAAAATTTAAATTTATTTAAAATTCTAGAGTTTTGAGAGCTCTAGAAGCATTTTAAACTGAAGTTTAAACATTTTTAGGTTAGAAACCCACATGGGTTTGAAATAAACCTGATTATCCTAATTAAAATTACTATTTTAAGTGTAAAATTTCTTAACTAATTCTAAACTCACGTTGTTTTCTAACTTAAAATATTAACTTGAAATGTTATTTTCAATAAAAAAATTTTATAGGTAGATGAAAAATATATTTTTCTTTATTTAGGAAAATATTTTTTTCTTTATCCATTAAATCAAATAGTTGAAGTATATTATTTAATTATTTCATAGCCTATCGATCGAAATGAAATATAAATTTATGAAGTTTCGAGAACTCCAGTAAACAAACTAATATTCAAAACCAAAAATCTAACATTTAGAGGTTAGAATAGCACGTGTGTTTAAAATAAACCAATCTCTCATATCTCATTTTCTTGCACGTTTTTTAATTTCCATGCATTTTTAATTATTTGATTAAAATATAAATATGTACATCTTCAGACAGACGAAAGTGTATCTGTACAACAGTATATATTTATTTTAAACATATCATTATTACATATATAATATGGTCATTACAACATTTTATATAATTTATTCTATAATTCGATCACACCTATATTCATTTTTACGTTCATATATTGGTGTAATTTATTTATCAAGATTCTTTTTATCATTTGGGTACTTTATGATTCTATCTCATTTTTTCTTTATTTTTAGGGTACCAAAATGCACACAAGAAGAAATGGAAAATGCAGTCAAATCCTCCCAAAAGGCCTTCGAATCCTGGAGCCAGACATCAGTTTTGACCAGGCAACAGGTCATGTTCCGCCTGCAGGACCTGATCAGGAAAAACATGTCTGCCTTAGCCAAAAATATCACTTTGGAGCAAGGAAAGACCTTGGTGGATGCCGAAGGAGACGTTTTGAGAGGATTACGTAAGAATAATAAATAATTGCTAATTATATTAAGTTTATATTCAGCCTCTATATGCAGTAGTGTAACTTTTAGATCACATTTAAAATTGTTCGGTAAATTATCAGAAATTTTGGTATTACTAAACTTGTGGCACACGTATTTCGAAGTATAATGAGTAATATCGAAAATCTATATAACTAACCAAACCTCTGGTATCTGATGCACTTGAGACATTTCTGACCAAATTTTGAGAAGTTTTGTTATGCATTGAAATTTGTTTTTTATTATCTATCTTAGTTATTTTTTTGACCAGTATCTTCTGCCTGATACATTTGAGAGATTTCCGATCCCTAAGAAGTTTCTTGATACATCAGGCAAAGTAAAACTGTGGTAATTCCGTGTTGACTTGTTCAGTATACATGAATCAACCCCGTATGCCTCATACATTATATACAAATAACTACTGCCAAAATTATTTTGGACAATTTTGGACCATCAAACTAATTGCTGGTAAATATTTGCAGAGGTTGTCGAACACTGTTGCAGTATCACCAGTTTGCAAATGGGTGAAACCATGCAAAACATTGCAAGGGACATGGACACACATTCTTATACTCTGCCTTTGGGAGTCACAGCAGGTAAGGGAAAAATATACTGACTAGTTGGTATTGGTATTTTGCCTTTTAATCAATAAAAAATAAATTAATTTATGAGTTATTAAAAGTATTCCGAGTGGATTTTCTTACACATTATTGAAAACGAACGAACACATTAACTCGGAATATTTTCTAAAAGCAAATTTTCAAAAATCAACAATTTTTATAATTGAACCAGTTGTCGTAAGACTTTAATGGTTTTGTATGTTTATCAAGACCAAGTACTCCATCGTTATATCAAGTAAATCCTCTAATTTTAATTTTAACAAACCTCAAATAAAACTACTCCTTTTCTCAAACTTTGATGAATTTTTAAAATTAAACTACTTGTCGTAAGGGCGTAATATTTCAGTAAGTTCTATAAGACCATGATATACATCGCCAAAAAGAATTCCATAAGAAAGAATTCCACAAGAAAACGGCTCGGTAGATTTTCACCTAAAACTAATCAATATCATTCCCAATTAATATCTTTCGAACAGTTTTTGATTTTATAAAGTCGATTCGGTAGTATGAGCTTAAATGTGGACGAAAAGTTCAAGACTTTTTTTCAAATTACAAAGAAACGGCTCGCCAGATCGTCGCACAAAACTGACGAACGATAATTCTCATCGAGATACATCAAATGGTTTTTAAATTTCTGAAATCGGTTCAGGTTTTTTGAGAACGTCGATTAAAAGTCAAGTTTTGACAAATGCCAAAAAAACGATACCAATTTATGCAAACTTTGACGAATTTTTAAAGTTAAACTAGTTATCATAGGGACGTAATATTTTAGTATGGTTTATAAGACTATGGTATCTACCGTCAAAAAATTAATAATAACTAGCTGTAAGTGGAATTTTGTCTTAAGGCAATTAAGGCATCGTGCCTTAAGGCAAATTGCTGGAATTTCCCGTATCAATTTTTTTTTTTTCAAAAAACGATTAACATTTTTGAAAAAAATTTACTTCAAAAAAATAAGATTTTTGAGAAACTATAAATTGGACCAAAAATTACTTTTTTTTCTTTATTTTGACATATTTTGAAAGATCTAAACTTTTTTCAAAGCAATCGTACTGTTTTAACTGCATAAAGACGAAATATCAAACCGCGTAAGCGCCGCGTCACCGTATAACGCGTAAACATTGGTACGGAACCCATAGGACTGTAAACCAAATTCATACTTATTGTTAAAATCTCTATAAAATATCTGATAATTTGATGTGCATAAGTCTAATGATCATATTTGACCGCCAAATGGCATTTTTTTTTACTTTTTTCATTAGGTCTCCGAAACCGCTAGACCTGCCTTTATGAAAATTTGATCGGTTCTTCACCTTGTCAATATAAGTAAAATGTTTTTTGAATTATTAAAATCGGACCCTCCGTTCTCTTAAAAACTGAGTTACCGTTTTTGGCACTTTTTGCCCCGTATCTTCGGAACGGCTAGACTTCCCTGCGTCAAAAACTAATCAGCACGTCTCCTTATCACTACGAATCGAATGTTTTTTGAATTATTCAAATCGGTTGATCGGTGTTCCCGAAATCGTCGACGAAAATTTGTATCCGCACATACATACACACACGCGCGCGCACACACACACACACACATACATCCATTTTTTCTAAGGTATGCAAAAATATTCAGAAACCTTTGAAACGTCGAGAAATGCAAAAATTTTCATTTTCGATTTTTTTGCGATTACTATAACTTGCCCTACGGGAAGTTAAAAATAGTCGGATTTTTTTTTAACACATTATTACAAGAAAACGACCCTGCCAAACTCTACCAAAGACTAATCAGCACGATTCCCATCGAATACCTTTCGAACGGTTTTTGAATTTTCAAAATCGATTCAGAATTGCGGGCTAAAACGTGAACGATTTTTTTTTACTTATCTGCTATTTACAGAAACGGCTTGGCCGATCGTCGCACAAAACTGCCGAACAATAGTCCTCATCGAGACGCATCGAATGGCTTTTAAATTTTTGAAATCAGTCCAACCGTTTTTGAGGTAACTTCGATTTACGGTGACAAATCTGTTCACATACACACACACATACTTTTTCCCAATGTTGGTCTCATTCGATTCAGAATAGCTTGAAACGTCGAGAAAAAATTAGCGAATCAAATTTTTTGATGAAAACATTACACTTCTCCTTCGGGAGCTTCACCAGGAGCAACATTGAATATGCTCCTGATGTTTAACGAAAATAAAATCTATGATTTTATATTAACTTTTTTTTTAAGGTATCACACCATTCAACTTCCCTGCCATGATTCCCTTATGGATGTTCCCCGTGGCAACTGTTTGTGGAAACACTTCCATCATCAAGCCAAGTGAACGTGATCCTGGTGCGACCATGATGTTGATGGAGCTCCTAAATGAGGCTGGTTGCCCTCCTGGTGTTGTAAACGTGAGTAGACCTAATTTGTTTGTGTTAGTCTAATTTTATTTAGCTTATACAACTCTATACTAAAAAAAAATCTGTTCACACACTCACATACTTTTTTTAAATTTAGTCTCATTCGATTCAGAATGGCTTGAAACGTCGAGAAAACATAAAATTGGCGAATCGGATTTTTTGGTGAAAACATAAACTTCTCCTTCGGAAGTTAAAAAATACTTTTGTTCAATAATGATAAATATATCTGAAATATACCTGGTTATATATTTTTTGCCCCCTACTTTCAAATAGTCAATCATTTGAATATACCATACATTACTTGTTTTTGATATAATAGTGGCGGACTTCTTTACTCAGACTTTTAAACTATGCTCAACCCTAATTTTTGACTAGTGGTGTATGGCATCGTGCCTTAAGACAAATTGCTGGTACTTCCCATACCGTAACGAAATGTTCGAGGAATATTGAGTGTTTTCAAATAGATTTTTATAAATATTGTAACATTGTCTAATATTCATAAGAATTAGGTAAACTTAATTGCAAAGTTAAAATTAGTTACTTAAAGTATATAAAGTATATAAAACATGACACATATGTTAAACTTATTAGCATCAGACACATATGTGTGACATGGCGGTTAACGTGTTAAGCAACCAAACCTAAGTTTTTGTACAAAGAGATATATTTTATTTTGTACTATTCGTCACACGATATCCAAACACTTTGTAGATTTTTAAAAACATTTGTATAATAGTTCTGAAAAAAATGCGTTTTTTCTTCAGTATTTTTTAAAGCGATCAGAACTACGTGTTTTATATATTCTAATCCAGAATTTTTTTCGATGACCAACCGCTACCCAGCGGTCAACCATTTTTCTCTTTCAATGAGTACGATACTATATAATCAGACATGTGAGCATATCTACATATATTTGAGAACTTCTAGTGGAAATTTAATGTCACACTGCTTGTTATCGAGCTGGCCGAGAGTGGAATTTAACCTAAAACCAGTTTCTGCTAGCCCATGATGGGCTCTCTCCCAATTTCCAAAAACTTTCAGAAGCAATTGTTTTGTCAACACAAGCAGAAAGTTTTCTGAATCATTCAAATCGGATACTCCGTTCTCTCAAAGACTCGATTTCTATTTTCTGCACTCTTTGCTCCGTATCTCCGTAACTGCTGGACCTGCCTTTGCCAAAACCTAATCAGCACATCTCCTTATCAATAGGAATCGAATGTTTTTTGAATCATTCAAATCGGTTGATCTGTACGCCCGAAAACGTGAACGAAAAAATGCGGACATACAAAACACGCACACACACATCCAGTTTTTCTAAAGTATGCCAAAATGTTCAGAAACTTCTGAAACGTGAAAATATATAAAAATTTTCATTTTCGATTTTTGGCCACATTTCTTAGAAAATGGATGTGCGTTTTGTATGTATGTATGTTTGGATACATAATTTCCTCCACGATTTCGGGCGCATGAATCAACCGATTTGAATGATTCAAAAAACATTCGATTCCTATTGATATGAAGATGTGCTGATTAGTTTTTGGCAAAGGCAGGTCCAGCCGTTACGAAGATACGGGGGCAAATAGTGCCAAAAACGATAATTTCATTTTTGAGAGAACAGAGTACCCGATTTGAATGATTCAAAACATGTTACTTGTATTGACGAAATGAAGAATTGATGAGATTGTTGGTAAGGCAGGTCTAGCGGTTTCGGTAATACAGAGGAAAAAGTAAAAAAAAAATATTTTGCCGTCGAAAATGATCATTAGAAATATGCACATCAAATTATCAGATATTTTATGGAGATTTTTATAAATGAGTACTAATTTTGTTACAATTTTGTTGGGTTCCGACAAAATAAACAATCTTGGTACGGAACCGTTCCGTATCAAGATTGTTAATTTCTAAAGTTTACTTATACGGTTCACACAAATTTCAAAATTTTCAAAAATATACAAAGTTTTATACTTCAAATATGAATTTTAAATTTACAATTCAGTTTGAAAATGTATATATTTCAAATGTGTTATTCTGGTCGTAAGAAATATATCCTCAGATGGATTCACTCAGCACCTTTTGCTAATGTAAACTTTCTCAAGTGTTTTGAGCGATGAGATCCTCACTGTATATTTTATGAACGATAAAATATATAGTGATTATAATTATTTATTTGTAAATGTTTGAAACTATTTGTTGTAAATCATTGATCAATTTTTATTGATTAATCATTATTTTTTCCTCGAATATTTAATTGTGGTACGGGATGTTGCCTTAAGGCACGATGCCATGCACCACTAGTCGTATAATATAAAATTACTAAATTCCTAAGTAACGCATGCTATTTATTGTGCCTGATACATTTGAGAGATTTCTGATCCCTAAGAAGTTTCTTGATACATCAGGCAAATCAAATCGTGGTAATTTCCGTGTTGGCTTGTCTAGTATACATGAATCAACCCCGTATGCCACATACAATATAAACCTAACTACTCCAAAAATTTGTTCAACAAATCCTTAATTTATTCCCTAAAATAACCATCAATAAATCTTTTACCCAGGTTATCCATGGTGCCCACGACGCCGTCAACTTCATCTGCGACCATCCGGCAATCCGTGCAGTATCCTTCGTAGGATCCGACCAGGCTGGTAAATACATCTATGAACGCGCTGGACGCAATGGTAAGAGGGTGCAGAGCAATATGGGTGCCAAGAACCATGGTGTCATCATGGACGACGCCAACAAGGAACACACTCTTAACCAGCTTGCAGGAGCCGCCTTCGGAGCCGCTGGACAGAGGTGTATGGCTTTGTCCACTGCAGTATTTGTAGGTAAGAGGGGAAATAATAAATAAAAAGTAGTGGTGTATGGCATCGTGCCTTAAGGTGAATTCAGGAACTTTCCGTACCACAATTAAATATTCGAGGGAAAAAATCAGTAATTAATAAATATTGATCAATGATTAATAATTGTTTTAAAAATGTTCAAATAGATAATTATAATGGCTATATATTTTATCGTTAATAATTTGAACTTGACGTTTCTACTATATTCAGACGTTTCTACTATATCACAGGCCAACAAAGAAAATGGTGCAAACGATTTTAATGCTGTTTTTAAGTATATTTGGGGCGCTGATTTCAAAAATGACATTGGTTTTTTCTATGAGCTTTAGTTTTCAAGATATGATATATCTGATATATAAGGAATGAAAGTACAAAATAGTAATACAATGCAGAATGTTATTTTAATGAGATATACCTACTCGTACATACAAACTTACAAGCCCCTTTCGGCCTTAGTTGGGGCATTAGTTGACACTGTTAAAAGTTCTTTTCCGTGACGACCTAGAATAAACCTGGTTTCGGCAACTTCTTTCGAAGTTCCAGACTAGAGCTGATACAAAAAAAATGGTTTGCAGATTTGGAATCAGCGCAAAAAATACTATAAGAATCAGCTCTAACATTTGATGCACCAAACAAAAAAAAATTTTGTAGGCCTGTGTATTTTTCTGTACAGATACAAGAGTATCATTGTCCTTGCGTTTTTGTTTATTAGACGGGGCCCTGAGCGCGAATTTGTTCGTGAAAATTAAAAAAATATTAAAACTTAACATTGATAATAAATATATATTTTTGAGACCATATATTGCACAATAGATCAGAACATGATCTATCTATGTTTTTGTCATATGTACTATGGATTTTAGGTGTTATCAAAATAAACCACTCAAGATTATGAAATGAAAGTTTTGGTAAGAGTTTTAATGTTCCAATATGAAATTTTCTCTGAAACTATTATCAACCACCATAAGGGGCGTCCATTAATCACGTGAGGTTTTTAGGTGGAAGGAGGGTTTGACAAAAAATCGCGAAATATCACGTGGGGGAAGGAGAGGTACACGGAGATATCACGTGTATTTATTGTTTACCTGATTTTTTTTAAATCCAAACTGTTTTAAAAAAAATCACAACTTTTACCATTTTTTCTCGTAACTAAAAATACTTGTAATGTTTGTTGGGGGAGGGGGGGTAATTTTGAATGTCACCACGTATCACGAAGGGCGAGGTGGGGTCCAAAAATTGTTAACAAACGATCACGTGATTTCCCTTCCCGTCTTCCCTTTAGGCGAAGACGGGTTTGACAAAAAAATCACGAAATATCACGTCGTGTTTATTTTTTTACCAATCTTTTTTTTTTTTAAAAAAAATCCAAACATTTTCAAAATAAATTTAAAAAATCAGTTCTTTCTCTCAACTAAAAATACACGTAATGTTTGATGGGGGAAGGGTGGGGATAATTTGAATATCACCACGTATCACCAAGGGGGAGGGGAGTCTAAAAATTATTAAAAAAATGATCACGTGATATTATGGACGGTTGACTTCATGGAGGATTCACAAAAAATCACGAAATATCACGTGGGGGAGAGAGGTATTTATTTTTTTTATCTGATTTTTTTTTTAATCCAAACATTTTCAAAATAGATACAACTTTTTTTTAAATACACGTTATGTTTAGTTGGGGAGGGGGGTAATTTTGATTATTACTACGTATCACCAAGGGTGAGGGGGTTCTAAAAATCCTTAAAAATCGATCAACAAAGGAGAGAGGGGTAATTTTGAATATCATCACGTAACTCCAAGGGCATGGGAAGTCTAAAAATAATTTAAAAAAATTTATCAGCACGGGGAGGGGGATCTGTAAATCTTAAAAAAAATCGATCACCAAGGGAAAGGGGGTTCTAAAAATCTTTAAAAAATCGATAATCCAGTGGGAAGGGGGTAATTTTGAATATCACCACGTATCACCAAGAGGAGGCGGGTCTAAAAATCCTCAAAAAATTGATCACCAAACGGAAGGGGGCTCTAAAAATCTTTTAAAAATTATTACAAAGGAGGATGAATATCGCCACGTATCACCAAGGGGTAGAGGGATCTAAAAATCCTTAAAAAATTGATCACCAACGGGGAGGGGGGTAATTTTGAATATCACCACGTATCACCAAGGGGGACGGGATCTAAAAATCTTTAAAAAATTGATCACCATCAAGGTGGAAGGGGGTTAATTTTGAATATCACCACGTATCACCAAGGGGGACGGGGGTCTAAAAATCCTTAAAAAATTGATTACCATCAAGGTGGAAGGGGGTTCTAAAAATCCTTAACAATCGTTTACCAAGAGGGAACGGGATCTAAAAATCCTTTAAAAAATCGATCACGTGATTAATGGGCGCCCCCTAAACCCATTTGCAACAATAAAATAGCATTTTTATGGCAGTGGACCAACATCATCAATTGAAAGTGCTTTCTTTATCTTATATCGTTATTATATTATTTTATCTTATCGTTGCCTGATACATTTGAGAGATTTCCGACCCCTAAGAAGTTTCTTGATACATCAGGCAAATTAAAATTGTGGTAATTCCGTGTTGACTTGTTCAGTATACATGAATCAACCCCGTATGCCTCATACATTATAAAACTTTGAACCAAAAACTATTTTGTGCAAATTTGAACTCGCAAACTAATATTTGGAAAATATATTTTTTCGTGCAGGACAAGCTAAGGAATGGATTCCAGACTTGGTAAAGAGAGCCCAACAATTGAAAGTCAACGCTGGACATGTTCCTGGAACTGACTTGGGTCCAGTAATTTCTCCACAATCCAAAGAACGCATCCACAAACTGATCGAATCAGGTAATAAGAAATGAACTAATTTCTTATAATTTTTTCTAATTCACAAGATTTTACTCTTCCTTATCTTGATGGTCCATCAATCTTTTTCTAGGTGTGAAAGAAGGTGCCAAGCTCGTCCTTGATGGCCGTGGCATCAAAGTAGAAGGTTTCGAGAAGGGCAACTTTGTTGGCCCAACCATCCTCACCGATGTCACACCTTCCATGGAATGCTACAAAGAAGAAATCTTTGGCCCAGTTCTTGTCTGCATGACTGCAGATACCCTGGACGATGCCATCAAAATCATCAACAAGAATCCCTATGGAAATGGAACTGCCATCTTCACCACGAATGGAGCTGCTGCCAGGAAATTTGTACAGAAGATCGATGTTGGACAGGTAAGAAAGATTAAGAAATTGTGCGTATGTGAGCACCACAGTTAAATGGTTGATCCAGAAGATGCCTGATACATTTGAGAGATTTCTGATCTCTAAGAAGTTTCTTGATACATCAGGCAAAGTAAAGTTGTGGTAATTCCGTGTTGACTTGTTCAGTATACATGAATCAACCCCGTATGCCTCATACATTTTTAACTTCCCGAAGGAGAAGTTTATGTTTTCATAAAAAATCCGATTCTCTAATTTTATGTTTTCTCCACGTTTCAAGCAATTCTGAATCGAATGAGACCAAATTTGGAAAACGTATGTGTGTGTGTATGTGTGTATGTGAGTATGTGAACAGACATTTTGCCGTAAATCGACGTTTTCTCGAAAACGGCTGGGCCGATTTCAAAAATTTAAAAGCCATTCGATGTATCTCGACGAGAACTATTGTTTGTCAGTTTCGTGCGACGATCGGCCAAGCCGTTTCTTTATAAATCGCAGAGAAGTGAAACATTTTTCGTCTACGTTTTAGCCCGCAATTCTCAATCGATTTTGAAAATTCAAAAACCGTTCGAAAGATATTGGTTGGGAATCGTGCTGATTAGTTTTTGGTAGAGATCGGCCGGGCCGTTTTCTTGTAATGAAGTTTTAAAAAAAAAATTCGACGATTTTTATGATTATTTTTTTGACGGTAGATACCATAGTCTTCTAGATCATACTAAAATATTACGGCCCTACGACAACTGGTTCAGCTTTAAAAATTCGTCAAAGTTTGCAAAAATTGGTATCGTTTTTTTGGCATTTGTCAAAATTAGACTTTTGATCGGCGTTTTCTCAAAAACGCCTGAACCGATTTTAGAAAATTAAAAGCCATTTGATGTATTTCGGTGAAGACTATCGTTTGTCAGTTTTGTGCGACGATCTGCCAAGCCGTTTCTTTGCAATTTGAAAAAAAGTGTTAAACTTTTCGTCCACACTTAAGCTCATCCTACCGAACCGATTTTAAAAAAAATAAAAAACTGTTCGAAAGATATTAGTTGGGAATGGTACTGATTAATTTTAGGTGAAAATCTACCGAGCCGTTTTCTTGTAATGAACTGTTGAAAAAAAAAATTAAGCCGATTTTCATGGAACTTTTTTTGGGGATATACATCATGGTCTTATAGAACTTACTGTAATATTACGGCCTTACGACAAGTAGTTTAATTTTAAAAATTCGTCAAACTTTGCTAAAATTATTGTTTTTTTTAAGTAGGATTGATGAAGTATATTATTTACACTTTTTTTTGATTAAGTCGATTATTTACACATATTGTGAAGTTGATGTAACTTGCCTCAAGGCTAAATACCAAACCAACTAGTTTAAAATTCTAATACTACATTTGCATTAATTATTACCAAAATTTGTAATAAATTATATGTATCATTTTTCAGGTTGGTGTAAATGTACCAATCCCAGTACCACTGCCAATGTTCTCCTTCACCGGCTCCCGAGGCAGTTTCCTGGGTGATAGTCATTTCTATGGAAAACAAGGACTTAACTTCTACACGCAAACCAAAACTGTTACCCAACTCTGGAGGGAAGGTGATGTAGGTCATGCTAAAGCTGCAGTAGCTATGCCTACTATGCAGTAAATTTTCCAAATATTTTAATACAAACAACTTTTCGATCTTCATCCAAATCACCAAAATCATCTATTTTGGTGATTCTGATACTATGCTGATAAATCACATAAACAGCTAGTCATTGAAATATTATTTGATTTAAATTGTTTGCAACAATTTATATTGAAACTGATTAGAAATAAGTTATGCGTTAAGTTATAAATAAAAAGAATCTCAACGAAATGAAACTGAAATATCTAAAAAGTCTTCCACATCACTAAAAGAAAACAATAATGATTTTTATATTTGAATATATTGCATTTTTATAAAATAATTTTTCATTTGTACATATTACAATTTTATTGATAATAAATAAATATATTAATTTAAAGGATTTGTTTGTAATTGTTAAAAAATTTAATAACTTTTTTTAAAAGCAAATTTTTCACGGAATTAGGGGCCAATTCTCTGATATAATAGACTGTTGTTATTTAAACGCTATCGACACTACTTAATTATAAACATTTTTAGAAAAGTTTGTAGGAATTACAACAACTACAAGTACTATATCAGTACATTCTCGTTGAAAATACAAGCATTTATATGTGTCTTTCTAGGTAAAAACATAAATTACTCAAATATTTTGTTTCGAGCACATCAATTTTAGTATTTGTAGTAACTCTAGACATATTGATCTACAAAATACCAAAATTACAAATATCTAGCATGAACCGTGTGTTATGAAGAGCTCATTGAATTGCAAACATCTGTATAATGTTTGTTTAGGAAAAGTATCTATATTAGACAAAAGCATTATTTATTTGCGTAATTTATTCTGGACTATAATTTTTAATATTTTTATCTATAGGTAGACAGATTGAAGAACGAAATTTTTATTTCACAAATTATACATTTTTTATTCAAATTATTTCTTTTGTAAAAACACATTTTGTTAAACGAAAGCGTGAAATTGTCCTGATTTTTTAAATTGTGAAAAACGTGTTAAGCGAAAAATTTTAGTGAAATAGTCCATCAATTTAAACTTATTTTTTGAATTGAACTAGTGGTGCATGGCATCTTGCAGGAGCTTTCTACACCAAAATTAAATATTCCCGAAAAAAAACAGTACAATTGTTTAATAATAATCGTTTTAAATATTTTCAAATAGATAATTATAAATGCTATATATTTTATCGGTCATATATCGCACAAAACGCTTGAGAATGTTTACAATAACAAGAGATGCCGAATGAATCCATCTAGGATACATTTCTTGCGAGTAGAATAACGCATATGAAATATATACATTTTTAAAATGAATTGCAAATATAAATTTAAGGTATAAAACTATATATTTTTTTTGAAAATTTTGATACTTATTTGAACCTTACTTTATAAATTTATGATCTTGGTACGGAACCCAAAAAAATTGTAGCAAAATTAGTACTTATTTTCAAAGTCTTCATAAAATATCTGATAATTTGATGAACATATGTCTACTGATTATTTTTGACCCAAATGATATTTTTTAACTTCCCGAAGGAGAGTTTATGATTTCATCAAAAAATCCGATTCGCTAATTTTATGTTTTCTCGGCGTTTCAAACCATTCTGAATCGAATGAGACCAATTTGGAAAAAGTATGTGTGCGTGTGTGTGTGTATGTGAACATATTTTTTTCTACATTTTTCTCTGTATATCCGAAACTGCTTTCCAAAAAAATTATCAGTTCTTCATTTTGTCAATACAAGCAAAATGTTTTCTGAATCACTCAAATCGGACGCTCTGTTCTCTCAAAATCTAAGTATTTTAGACCAACAAAAGCTCATGTTTAAAGTAAATTTTTCATCATTAGGTGAGCGTTTGTCTTTATGTGTATATGTGTATATAAAGTATTTTCTGGCAATTTTAAATTTTTTCAAAAAATATTTGTATTTATCAAATTAATTTCTCTATCTTTGAAACGGCTCGACCTGCTTTCAAAAACTAATAAGTACATCTCCCTATCAATAGAAATCGAGTTATTTTTTTTTTAAATCCAAATCGGTTGATTCGTGTTCCCAAAAATGTCGACGAAAAATTATATCCAAACATGCATAAGCACACACATATTCATGCATTTTTTCTAAGGTATGCCAAAATGTTCAGAAACCTTTGAAACGTAAAGATATGCAAAAATTTTCAATTTCGATTTTTTTGCAATTATAACGGGTAACTACGGGAAATTAAAAGAAAAGTGTTAAATGAAATTATGCACAGTTTTATTAATACTTATTAATACCAGCTTCATTACTAAATGCAAATGAAAATCTAAGAAAAATTTTTACTTTTCAACCTAATTGTAATGCATGTTTTTATTTTTATATCTTTACAAAATAAATACACCAATACAAAATCATCATAAACATTTCCACTGAGCAAAAACGCTTATTAAATTGACTAGAAGCAGCATTGCTCGCCTTCCAAAAAGAAAATGGATAAACCAAATACTCCGACTGTTTAATCTCAGCCATACTCTCCAATTCCTTCGAATGAGTAATATCTTTGAATAAAACTTCAACACCTACTGTAACTTTAGGATCATCCAAATTAATCTTCACATCAACTTGTTCACCATATTTGACACCAGCTCGCAAAATCCTAGACTGCTGATGTAAATGTCTAAAATCTAAATTCAGGTACACAAAGTAGTAACTGATGTAATATACCAAATTTTGGCAAATTAAATTCCTGCGTTTTGTGTAACCATTTATGTTGTAGTTAGTATCTTTGTGGTGTACCAGTTTTAACCACTCGGAGGTCAGATTTCTTGGTTTACCAAAAACCGAGACAAAGTTGTTTAGCCTGTCTTTGTTTCCGAATAAGGTGTAGAATATTTTCTTCTGTATATTCGTGCACATGTGTGCCAAGTTTGTGGTTTTGGTGATCTCCAATTTGCCAAGTTTTAGGTCACACTTGGTCCTCAAGTTGACACCAAATATAATGGACTCGTAAGTGGTGTTTGATAATTTGCACAAGCCTCTAACATTTGCTGGTGCAGTCAAAATATTTCTGGTGTTGAAGTACCTGGAGTTCTCGTGAAAATAATCAATGACGTATTGGATTGTAGGAAAATCGTTAGTATTATTATGTACAATTTCCACGAATTTACCACTAATCACCGGACGTCCTGTTAAGTACCCAGGATTTCCACTCAATTCCTTGTTGATACCTTGCTGATTTTTTACTACCATGTACTTGACTTCAAATATCCGATCAATTTTTGTGCCTACATAAAACGGTTCAGTGTTGTGCAGAATTTCAAAAAACACTTGAACCTTCTCCAAACCTTTCGCGAATTTATGAAAAATCTTGATCAGTATATGTTTAGGAACATTCTCACACTTCATTCTACCATCTTGGAGAATCACACAACTTTCCTCAATTTCTCCTTCAAAAACTGGTTCACAGCAAGTTTCATCAGGATTCGACAATGTCCTTAAATCGTTGCAAATAAAATATTCCAAATTTAGACATAAATCCATGCAGTCTTCGTATTCTGTAGAATTTAATTTTTCAGGAGCCGAGATCATGGTGATGTTATAGAGGTCTTTGAGGGTTATTGGAAAGCCTGAACGATGGATTCGTAGGAAGTCTTTGTCTATACCAAAGATTGGTCTCAATATTTCTGTGTATTTGACTTGTTGGTCTTCTAGAAATTTTAATGGTGTTTTTGTTATGCGGTTGAAGAAGCGTCTGGGTGTATCTGGAAAATAAGAAATAAAATCAGACCAAATAAAATGGTAAACACTGAACTAGCTCATAATCTTCATTTATCAAAACCAAAACTTAGGATCAACCATGTTGTTCTCAAAGTTTGCCAAAATTGATAGCGATAATATTGATTCTGGCTTTTTGAGCAACTTGGATGCTTCATAGATTATTTTTCTCTTGTGTTGACATAATTGGTTCGTGGACGTGGATGCTATAGCATTCATTAACTTCCCGTAGAGTAAGTTATAGTAATCGCAAAAAATCGAAAATGAAAATTTTTATATATCTTAACGTTTCAGAGGTTTCTGTACATTTTGGCATACCTCAGAAAAAATGGATGTATGTGTGTGTATGGTATGTGTGTATGTGTGTGTGCGGATACAAATTTTCGACCACGATTTCGGGAACACGGTTAAACCGATTTGAGTCGTTTAAAAAACATTCGATTGCTGTTGATAAGGAGAC